AGCTCTCTAAATTACTCTCAAATACAGTCTACTTTATTTATCTTAACTCTTATTTTAGAGAATCCCAATTTTCTCTCAAATGATTTTATTCATAATATTTTCTTGTGGGTCTCCTCGTCCATAGTAATATACTAATATTTTCATCTGTGATACTAAGAAACGGAGAAAAAGGAAAATCAAGTAAATGTACCTGTTAAAATTAATTTAGATAAAACAGCAGCATTGGGAACCTTTGGAGATAAAACAGCTGGAGTGTCTAACACATAAATATTGGGATGGCTACCAATCTGAACGGAAAGCACAGGTTTCAAAAGTGAGAAATACACATGTACTAATTCACGTATGAGTGAACAAGAAGCAAAACAGGGAAACAAGTATGAAGATCATAGTAGCATAGATAGGCCAACAAAGTGCACAATAGACATCAACCTTCTCTAAACATTTACACGACTAAACACAGGAAACTTACATTCTCAATTATTTTTTAAATCAAGCACCATGGATATCAATAACAGCCTATGGCAGTGAGCCACAAAATCTGCCATACCAATATGGTAGATGGCGTGGTAGAAAAAAAGATAGACTTAAATCCATTTTTGGTATTCATAGTTTCATGAATGTGCAATTTTGACAAAAAGAATAAAAGTCGCCCAACAAAGTGACAACATAAGACACCTTAAAAAACTAATCATCACACTTCCCAATATAATCATTTTCCTTGTTTGACCATGAGGCATATCCTTTAGTTTTTTCTTCTGAAATTTTCAAATTAACATTTGGCAATATATGAGATTATGTTGTCTAAACTTAAACTAAATATACAACTAGAATACAATTTAATTCTACTGTTCACACTATCTTGAAACACTAACATATTTAATGACAACCAATTAGCTAACTTTAATCTAACTAAATGATTTTCTACTTTAATTATCTATGAAAAAATTAACAAATTAATATATTTAAAAAAATCTTGTAATAAAATCTATATTTATTTTTCTCCATTTATGATCTACATAAAAAAGTATAATTTTTATTATTAGTTAAGAATCAATACACGTTGCTATTGCATAAAAAATGAATACAATTATTTATCTTTCATTTAGAATCAAACACTTATGTCAAATGAAGAAAAAAAATATAATATAATTTCAATTTTAACTTGCTTATAAATTTATTATATTGCATTCTTTTTATTTATATGTTTTATTGTAAAAAATGTATATCAGAGGTTCAAGTGTTAACATAAAAGTGTTACTCTAGACCTTATTTTAGGTGGTTTAAGTGGTTAAATTTCTTCTCTTCATTAAAGAACCTTACCAGCTTACCTAACATAAGCATCTTTCACAAGCATATTAGATATCTGGTAACCTAAGATACCTAGATGGAGCAACTCTGTGCACCAAAAACCTACCAAGAGTATAAATTATCATTCATCACTTATTGTTCTGTTAACATGATGAAAATCAAATTCTTAAGAGAAATTACCAGAGGTAGAATGAGACAGCATAACAGAAAAGTTATACACTGATAGTTCACATTATGGAAAATAATATAATATATAAAGAAAACCAAATGGCTAACCTTAAAACTTCGAATATCTTTAGTATCTCTTGGTTCTGGACTGACGGTTGCATGCTTTAGCTTTCCTTTTTCTATAAAATAAACAGTGAACAAGAAAAAAAATCTATAAGATAAAACAGTAAATTTGTGATATATATACATACATATATATATATATATATATCCACCAGTGTTTCTCATGAGTTAAGCATGTCATTTAGCTTCCTCTACTCTACTAGAATTGTAATAATAATTTGAATACCTGCTGCATTGATTCTCCCCACTTGATGCAAAGCATTGGTAATTGCCGACTTACCAACATTTGGAATCCCAATTAACATTACTGTAGCGGTATAATTATTGTCACATTGATCATCTCTCTTGAGTTCTCTCACTTGGCATTGTATAAGGCTTAGAAGCTAACTAAAAGCAAATATCCTTATTAGTAATTTAGTTCATGAACAAATATGACAATGCAAATAATTGCGCTCGTCATTCCATGGAAAACCTTTTAGAAACTGATACAAAATTTGTCTCATTTTACCAATAGAAGCGTAGGAACTGGGAGCTTCAATACCAAATATAAAAAGTCACTAAGTCAAATAGAAAGCTCCAAAAGAAACCTCTAATTGATAGGTTGTGCTTACTGCTTAAAGGAGAACAAAGGACAAATGAGCAGCAGCAATACAGTAAAAATGATTCATTGATATGTTGTGCTTACTAATTAAAGAGTTAAACAGTTTCTCAGTACTATTCATGTGTGCTACAGACTAAACTACAGGTGCACCTTACAGAAACTTATTCAAACCAATTTAAACATGGTTGTAAACAGCAGTAAGATTCAAAATTAGAAACATGGTTCCATATGCTTTAACATTTTATAAACAATGCCAAAACTATGATAAAAAGACCATTCATTCCTGAGGCTCTTTGGTAGAATGCACAAAAAAGGAACAAACAGTTTACCTGTCTGATGTCCTCCTTGTTATGAGCATTGACTCCACAAGATATGCAATTCCTTTCGCTAAAATATTCCACCCATGCCTATTCACAAAAACCTTTATTAAAACAAACAAATCATTAACTAGTAAATATAAAAGTAATACAATTTCACTAATCTCTCGAAATAATTATCTAATTGAGTTTTGGTTAAACTCCGGTAATCAATTTGTTAGAATAGTTTACTGGTTTAACTACAAATTTGGTTAGCAAGTTAGACTACATGGCATTATTGATTACTCTACTTATCTTAGCTCTCCCTCGAGAGCTTCTATGTAGAAGCACATTACTAATTTGTTCGCACACAACTTTTCTCATTTAATTTAATTTTCTCTTATCACCACTTTCAATTTTCTCTCCTACCATGTTCTGCAACAAAACACACTGAAAACCACATTCCAGAAGAAAAACGCTAAGGTACTCTAACAGCCCTATGTTATTTATTTATTTTATAAATTAATGTTTCAATTTTTAACCATACATGTTTGCTTTAATTTCAACATGTAACATGGATATAAAATTTAGAAATTTTGAACACATTAGACCAAAATGCAAAGACTAAAAACATATGTTCCCTCAAAAAGAAGCCCTACCTTCACATTCGATGCACCCGCAAGATCCATTTTATTGAGCGCTATGATTTGTTTCTGGGGAAGTGGGTAGTTTCTGAGTATCTCGCATTCGGAGGACAAGGGAATCTGAAAAACGAAAAGAATAGGAAAGTGTGTGAACAAGTTAAAGAAACGAATGATTGGTTAAAAAAAAGTGAGAAACAGACCCTTGCGTCTCTAACTTCGACGACGAGATTCGCCAACGGGATTCTTTCTGCGATAGCACGAAAAGCGGCAGCCATAAAAGAATCGCACCATTCTCCCTTACTTCTCAGCTCTTCCTTTAACACTGTGCCAATTCGTCTGCCCAAAATCGTCGTTGCCATGCTTCTCATATTCTCATGTCGCTGCCATGCTTCTCATGTTCTCATGAGGAGAATACACTATGAACAATCAGTGCAAAATTATTATTTTCAGTCCCTGCAAACGTTTCTCTCCATACCTCATTGAGGTTCAGCTCAGATTTTTGTATATTGAACTGAGAATAGGGATTGTGGTGGAACCTGGAATTGTCTTGCTTTTTGAGATAGAAATGTGGTCTGGAATTGAGGTGGGATTTCACAGAGTCGAGGCAAGAACAAGGGAGGCCAGGAAAAAAATTAAGATTAACATTTTTATAACCTAAAATCAATTTACACACATTAAATTAAAATGTTGGGAAAATTTTATAAGTTTCGTAAATTAATTTACGTATGATCAATTTTATATTTAATTTTATCTTTTTATTTTTATTTTTATTTTTATTTTTCTTTCCCAAGTACTTAATTTTAATATAATGATATAATCTTAATTTGATTGTTTACTTCGAACCCTTTTAATATTTAAACTTATTATAAAAATTACATTAAACTTAATTTAGTTTTGAAATTTTATCCTGTCTAAAACCAAATCTTTCTGTAAAGACATCTTGAGGGCAACTTCTTTCTTTAACATAAATTTTTCTCTCACCATATATCAAAAATTTTCATTTTAACTTTTTTATTGTACAATCCAAAAATAAAAAATTATCTTTAAATTATATAATTTAAAAATAATTTTTAACTTACAGATTATATAAATTAAAAATTATTTCTTCTTAAACAATTTACTTTTAAATTGTATAATCTAAAAATTAAAAATAATTTTCAAAAGTGAAAAAATATTAAAAAATACGTTTTTAATTGCATAATCGAAAACTCATTTAATTTTTGAATTACACAATTCGAAAATTATTTTTGTTTTTAAAAAATATTTTTAGGTTCTAAAAATAACTTGAATTATATAATAAAAAAGTGAAAAATAATTTTTTTTATCCGAGGTGTGGAAGAATTTATGGAGATAAAGAAAGAAGGGTGTTGCTCCCTCCACCCCCACACATCTCTTCCTCCACCTCCCCTTTACTATTTTGCCCCTTCCTCCACCTTTCCTTTACTATTTTGCCCCTCAGTAAAATTTTATTTTTAAAATTGTTGTTTTTTAATTTTATTCATTTATAACATATTTCACTGATAACCTACGTAGTTTCTTGTATGAGTAAAATATTTTTCTACAAAGCTTGGTGATCGTGAAAAGAATTATCAAACAATCTTCTTCTTGTTCTCGGTGCAGTACGTGGTGCAGTGCGTTTATGGTGTAGTGTCCTTGTCGTGGTTCCTCCCCAGGTACGTAGTCATAATCCTTCCAATAATCCTAAACCCTAAATCCTTCCCATACTTCCACTAATCCTTTTAATATCCAAGCCTATAATCCTTGCATGAGCCGCAAAACGTAGTAAAATAAAAACGAAACGTAAAAGGAACACTGCCTATGGACGGATGACATCCTTCAACGGATGTCAACATCCGTT